TATTTGATTTTTCAATAAATTATTAGTTTAGAAATATTGAATTTATTTTCGCATCCTTAATTTTGCTTTCCCCCCATTATTTTTACCCCTTTGGCTAACGCTAGTTATAGCAGTCATACAGTTGTAGTGCAGTCTATGGGCAGTGAAACACAACATACAAAACAATAACATTGAGTGAAACCAAACGCACAGCTGTTTTGACACTTTGTTTGTCAGACCCGTCGGCGACCGTATCCTCTCGTCTGAGACCGCAATCTCTTCGGTAATGACCGTCGGATTCATCGCTTGCGGACCAAACGAAGCGCTCGTCGTCTCCGGTATTTTCTATGGCTTGAAATCAGCTGTTTTTGTTAATCACTTGTTTGTTTTTTATCATAGGTTGCGGTCATCGGCGGCCACGTGTGGTGGCCGGCGGTCGGGTGTTTGTGTGGCCACTCGCGCAACGGGTCCAACGGTATACCACTGTTTATAAGTCTAACAACACACCTACTATTAATCTCATACTTTTCTCTTTGCCACAAGACTATCGCTAAACGTAATGGCGGTGACCGTTGAGTCGGTGGATGTGCTGACCCGCGAGGCCGTGCCGTTGACCGTCCGCTCGCTGGCCATCGCTCAGATCTCGGGCCACAATCAGCGCCTATTGGAGTCCGCGTGCGAACAACTGTTGGGCAAATCGGTGGACGAGATCCAGTGTTTGGTTCGGGAGACACTTGACGGCCATCAACGGGCGTCGATGGCCAACACCACTGTCGAGCGCATCGCCGCAGACTCGGCCCGATTCGCCGCCTTAGTGTCGCTCTTTGCCGAACCCGATATGACACGAATGGGACTCACGATCGTCTCGTATACCGTACAAGACATCAGCGATGGCGGCGCCGGTTATCTCCGGGCGATCGGCGCGACCGCAACGGCTCGAGTCAAACGCGACGCCCGTATCGGTGAGGCGGAGGCCGCGAGGGATGCGGCGATTGGCGAAGCGCTGACCGAACAACAGCTGATGAGAGAGCGTTACGCGATCGGTGCGGCCATCGCGAGAGCGGCCGCCGATTTTCAGCTGAAAAGCGCCGACAATGACATACATGTGCTGACAATGAGAGCCGAGACGGACCTGTCGTATAGGCTAATGGCGGCCAAAATGCGGCAATTGATTAAAGCCGAGGAAATGGAGGTCAGAGAGCGCGAAGGGTGTGATCTAATGGGTAGTTATTGACTGATTTGATTGTTTTGTCTCACGTTTAGGTTAAAGTGATAGAAAGGGCTCAAGAGGTACGACTCCTGGAACAGGAGGTGCGGCGCAAAACGCGTGAATTGGACGCAACTGTTTGCAAAGTGGCCGAAGCGGACAGATATGCCGCCGACAGACTGTCCGAAGCGCACAGGAATGCGATTGTGATGGAGGCTGAGGCCGAAGCGATCGGTATTATGTTGAGGGCTGAGGCCGAGGCGTCCGCTATAGTGGCCAAAGCCCGAGCAGAGGCCGATTTGTTGGCCAACATTAGTGATGCAGTTCATGGAAAGCGGTTTAATGATCGCTGGCCGGCGCCCAGTGTTATAGTGTTTGCATTGTTTGCCACCAAAGCTGATGATAAGCTGATGTCTGTGTTTGTCATATATTGCATAACAATTATATTTATTATGTTTTTTAAATAGATTTTTGTATATTTTGTTATTATTTAATTTGAGATTTAATATATATTTAATTTACAATTCAAAAGTCATATTTTTGTAAGTAAATAGTTGTTACTTTAACTGAAATATGAATTAACATTAAAAATTAATTAAATTGTATTTATACCGTGATTATGATTTATCATTGTTTATAATGAATTTATATTTTTAAAGTTATAGACATTTGTGTGATTTTCAGAAAGAAAATGATCATCAAAATGATTATCTAGAAGAAAATATAACAAATGATTTATAAATAAATATTTGCTTAATTTATACCTCGAAGGACTGTTTGTAATTAATTATAAATAGTTTATAGCAATAAAAGCCAATTCGCTTCTCAGCCAACTTCTCGAGCCATGAAATTAACTTAATTATAATATAAGATTATTAAATTTTTAATCAAATTAATTAATGAACTTTGTAACATATACAGTATATTTACCTTAATTTTTGTACCGGTATTCAAATTATTAATACGACTATAAATAAGAGAAATGAATAATTTGTATGAAATTTTGCATTCATTGACTAGTTTTGAGCTGATATTCAGTATTAATAAAAATAGTGTCAACCAAATGATAGCACAATAACTGAATGTTATTTTAATTATTAAATTCATTTCAAAAAATAAACACACATATAATGCAAATGACATAAACGTTATATTGGTGTAGATAAAAATTAATAAGTATTTTAACCAAACATTTGCATTCAATTCAGTTATCTCTCTGTGAATGGAGTTTAGGTTTAAAAGTGTTTTGCAAATTATTGGCAAATTTATCACATTTTTAGATCTCAATAAACGTCTGATTTGACGATTAATTGATTGTATTTTAAGTATTGAATAAAATATAATTAAATATAAATAAAATATCTGACATACGAAAAAACAACCAAAAACTGTACCAACATAAGTTGAAAATATACTCCAAAATGAAATAATAATTATAATTAAAAAATAATTATTGAAATTTAAAAAATATTGAAAAAATAAAATAGTTGTGAGGATAAATGTAGCGAGACCAATCGTAAAAATTACTGATGATAAATATCTAAATACAAATTTTGCTATTTTAATTAATTTGTGGACATCGTTGGCATCCGTGAGACCAATACTTTGAGGTGATATCAAACCAGACATCATATCAAATGGTCTCAAATACGAGGGCTTCACTCCTTCTCTGTGGTTCAAAAAGTGGACGATTTGTGAAAAAACAATACTTTGAATACAAATAAGTAGTGCAATATTTGCGTGATATTTAGCGCCAACAAAATAAGCAAAATCTCCAATTAATAGATATATCATATCATTATTGGTGGTAATAATTACTGTAATTAAACATCGGATCCCATAAAGCAATGCAATTATAAGAACAGTAATGGGATTATAAATGGGATGTCTTTTAAGGTTATTGTATGGAAACCATGAAATGCCATATTTGTAGAGATGGGTTCCCGCAGTCGGTATCACCAAATGTTGTGGTAATACCGATAACGTATCTAAATCTACCATTGTTAAATTTACTTAAATTATATAACAATGATTTAAAACTTTTTTAAATAAGATAGATTCTTTTATTAATAAACATCAAGGTTTGTATATTAATTATAGTATAATGCTTTATTTGTCGCTTAAATGAGCAAATATTATTGATTATATTCATAATTAATTAAAATTATAAAAATTATGTAGAAATTTTAATACAATATCTAATGATCAAAGGTAATGAATACAATTAAGTTTTGATGCTAAAAATAAATTCTTAATTATATATTCTAACTTGTGATAAATTAAAACTTTCCATTTATACAAAATAATGAATTGGTTTTATTAGAGTAAAATTCATTATTGAAATGCTACATTTTAAAACATAAAACTTTAATAAATAATAATATAGCTTTAAGGTAGAAAGTGATAATCAACCAGATAACTTAAATTATCGTAATTATGCGCAAATGTTTACACTTTAATACTATGCAAAATCCAATAAAGAGGTGTAATACTATTTAGGTAATTTACATTTAATTTTAGGATCATTATTGTAATTCACCAAAAAAGTCATTAGTAATATGCATGAAATTCTCAATTTATTTTATATGTTTTGAAACAATTATGAGAATCAATTAAAAAAAGGACTGAATACAATTAATGCACATTAATTGATACAGTATAATTATTCAAATACGTATAAAGTTTATTTAGTTATAAATTTTTTTAATATATTTATATTTATTATGTGCCAATGGACTTATTGCATTGCAGAATAAATCATATAAACATACCAATTAAATAATTATCTGTAATTATTATTATTTATTAAAAGACAAAACAATTAAATAACCCAATAATTCTAATAATTATTTCGAAATATGTTTTTGTAAACAATATATGCTTTATTTATAAGACATTTATTTATAAACATGCTGAAATGAGTTATAGAAATTATGATGTTTTGTAAAAAACAAATTAAAACAATTAAAAGTAAATCAATATTAATTGATTTAGGAGTAGCACTGTACCAAAAGCATTATCACATAAGGTATTTATTATTTAAAATAGCTGTATTAAGTTGAATATATATATATATTATAAATGCAATAAATACTTTTGCTTAAGAATGGATTTTAATGGTCAAGATCTTTTGAAACATGTGTCAAATGCCCAGCAATACATTGAATCGCATGCATTCACTTATTGGCAAAAGTACGTCAATGGAGTCAATATGTCTTACATTGACTGCTCGTATAGGGATTGGAAAAAACGTTTACCGCATTTTGGAAATAGGTTTTACACAATTACGGGAAGCAAAGATGTAAATTAACTTATTATTGTTAAGTATAATTAGTTTTTAAATTGACACAAATAAGTAAATTCAAATAAATGATTAGATGGATTGGTTTGTATTGGACGCCAAGTCCGGATACCATAGCTCATTGATTGCGCCCGTGCTAATTGAACTTGGTAAAATGGTTAATTACACGTATGTTAACTGAACATGAGTTAAAATTAAATTAAATATATGTAATCACTTTAATTTTTAAAAATTCATAACAGATTTCACTTGTTTGTGACCACTTGTGAAGATGTAAAGCATAGATACCATCAGTTGTATAAAGACGGAGAAATCACATCATTAGATAGAGTGCCGCAAATGTATGAATTTGAGATCAATTACGGCTGGACTTGTAGTCAACCCCTATATATGTCTAATCGCGTCAACATTTTGAGTCCAATTGTTCCCCAAGAAGTGATTCCCATCGCAAATATGTGGAAAACATTTCAACTGTTTGTCTGGTATTGTATTGTCATTGCATTCAGTGTCGTTGTCTTAATAAACAAACAGATTTCAACATTTCATCTCAAATATTATTACAAACAAAGTTTGTCACAAATAATATGGATTTATTTCAAGCCATTGTTGGGAATCACTGAGAGCTGGAAATTTAGAAATTTTATATACATTTTATGGATTTTAGCCGTATTTCCATTGACTTCAGTCATACAAAATGGTTTATTCGCTAACCTATTGCTAACCCATGAAACTCATGTCGACGATATCGATGGCATACTAGAGCCCAAAGTGATCGCATTGACCGATAAGTTTAAAATCGATGACTGGCGCCACGAATTGTTTATCAAGAATATTGACGATGGTGTTTTCAAACGTAAATTTATTAAATTGACCGCTAAATTGCAGAATATAATGGATGAGTTTAAAAATATGGAGAAATACATCGATGAACCAAAATTACTGATAGATCTGATCCACAAAAGCGTTATCCTTGAAGACGAAGAGTGGTTATCAGTTCTGCATCCACTCTTTGCGCGACTTGTGTCTACACATATCGGCCAAAAGTATATACAATCGCTAATAACACCCCTCTGTTATGGAAAACAATTTCCATTTGTTAGAGAAGCAAATAATTTGTATGATTTATTATTAGTATTAATTTTAATAAAATAATTTTAAAATTAATTTATATTTTAATTCCCATTTAAGGACTAGACGTCTATTTGAGGTCTCACTTATACAACACTGGTATCAATCGAAGTATACCTTTCTATTCAATCAGGGATTGAAAATATTTGAAAACATTTTGGGAAAACCAATAGATATTTTCTATCCAAACACCACTTCATTGACTGCAATTGACTTTAAACAAACAAAATCAATGTTTGCATTTATATTTGGTTTACTCGCATTCACTTGTATTGTTTTTATTGTAGAGATCTTCTCTGATACACAAAAATTTGTTAATAAACTTTCATAAAATCTAATAATTTATAAATATTATAATGTAAATGGCATTGAAAACTAATGTAAAGTTTGTTAAATAAATAATAAATGGTAAAAATAGTCTTAAATATTGCTTTGAAAATGGGTGGACAGCATCTCATCCTTGTCTTTCTTCAGGCCTCTAAAGGCCAACACCGGGTAAAAGACTATAACACCGATTATTATGAATATAACGGTCAGCACAACGAGTGATATCCAGGAGTTGGACGGCGAGGGGCTGGGCGTCTGTTCCGTCGGTATGATATCGGTTGGAGCGCTGGTCGGCTCACGTTTGGACTTAATATTGTCAACAATCAGTTTGTAGTCCTCGTCGAAGAAGTCACAGTCGAGTAGTTCCCAAACAGACTCCTCTTCTATACTCTATAGAAATTAAGTGCAATTAATTTTCTCACAATTACAACGAGTTTGCAATAATTATATCTAAAAATAACATTAATTAAAACATGATTTACTAATCCATTATTTCTGGGCAGTATCCATATAAACATATTTCCTGTGGCATAATAGGGAACATTCAATGTAATGAGTCCTTTAAAGTCTGTGGCCTTATAGTT